GTTTGAGTGGACAAGTACAGTGTATAAATGTCCAGGGCTGTTGTCTCACTAGTTCCTCTTTGTTATTGATTAAACAATCGAAGAATTTCGTGTTTTTGAAGTGGAGCATAATACAGTTCGCACGGCCCCGTTGCAGGGCCGAACGTGGCACGCACAGCTGCTGTTTTCGCTACTGAACTGAAACAAAAACAATTCGACTGTTGAAACATGCTCGAATGCTCGAATCAAAATCGAATTCTGAGCGCTCACAAAAGGGTATGCCAGTAATCATTACGTTCAGCACATTTGGCTTCGTCACCGCCGAAAATGTCATTGAAAACGGTGTTGCCGATGACTGAAAGGTGCTGAATAGCAGCGATCGTCATCAGTACCTATCCAACAGGGCTATTCCGTAACCTCTGAGACATTTTTCACTGGCTGCGTGCTGTTCAGAGCCATCCGATTCCTCCTCTGAAATCGCATTGGTTTTTGTCTTTGCCGTTGCCGCTCTTTCGTTCTTTCGTTGCGTCTCCTGACACAGAGGAGAGATTCATCGATGACAGCCATTTACCAACGAAACGTAACATGCCCGTTACCCTCAAATATCTCAATTGTCTCATCTGCCGAGGTTTTCATCTGTCACCCATCTCCTCTAAACACCATCGCCTGGAATTGACGGTGTCTTCCGGCCACGCGACAAGCTGTTGCGGTTTGTCATGCGGTTTTTTTCACCTCAGATAGTGCAGACTGTTACAGTAATACGTCTGTAGCTGACGTCAATCGCGGTTTGAACCAAAACGTTTAACAATACGCTAGTCCTCTTCGCAGCTGCTACTGGCCAATAAGCGTGACTTGAATTTAATCGATCGCCTTCAGCGATTCTCCTTCGATCAATTTCAACTCATGTTCTTATTTTGGCATTTCAATTGTTGAATTCACAGATTACTTGGAAAAGTAGTATTTTTGTCTCTTCCGACAAAGACCGAGTGTAATGCATCAACGCTTTCACGCAGTTTTATGTCCAGGATTATCTTCTTCGACCATATTTGACAATCGATTTAATCTTCGTCGACAAGTGCAATATCTGCACTTGGGACCTCTTTCTCTGAAGTGCGAAAAAACACGTCATTTTTTCTCAAATCTAACATTGCTAATCACATCCATGACAATCTCTGAGCTGTCCTGGGCTGAGGCGGGGGTGGGTAAGCTTGATGGACACCTGAAAGGGGAGCTTGCCTCAGTTGATGTTGGCTTTCTCGCGATGGTGGCCGATACTGTTAGCGCAGAGTTGCCTGAAAATTTTGATTGATCATATCTAACAATTGAAGCAGTGTTTTACTCTCGTTGTGCGGTGCTGGCATTTAACACGTCCATGTTCTTTTCTGTCCCATGACAATTAAACAAATGAAAATCAATTCCAGGCACAACGTGGTCACATCACCCACGCACGTTGCACATTGAAAGACCGACACATCGGATGTGCCAGATCGCCAGTTCAACATTCAACGAGTCGAGAAACGATAGCTGGTTGCCCTTTGATGCTCAACCCCTTTCGTCGTCAGCTACCACCGTCACAGTGGATTCATTCGCCGATACCGAAGCAACTCATCGACGTCGGCGCGGCGACGTCGACGATCACGACGACGCTGGCTCGGCGTTTCGTCCGTACTCATGTGCGACGACATCAGCCACCGCTTCCGCCGTTTTCGCCACCGCATCAATCTCCTCGTCGCATCATCACTATCAAGTTTGTTTATTTCCTACCCTCTCACTGTTTGATTCTAGCGAAGACGGTTTACCAGGTCTCGCCAATCTGTGTGATCGTTGGCGGTTTGTTATAGTTGGCGCAAAGTTTTTTATTGTTTACACTCTTCTAATGGGATAGGTGTCCACTGCCAGTGAAGCGTTCATCTCACGGGCGAGCTTTGATCAATGTTTTTCTTCTCTTTATGTGACACTTAATAGCGGAGGTCGTGTGCGTGCTTAAATGAGATAAGCGTTGCGATTATGAGCTGAATTGAGCTGTTCCTTATATGGCCCCCGCTTATAGTACATGCTTTCCTGTCCTGACAGTTGTGGAGCACTGGTCACTGAGAAATGGCCATCTCATAGTCATCACTTCGTCGACTTCCGCGTCGTTCACCACCGCATTTCGCGACCCTTGGTGTCCGTGGCGTTATCGGCTTGGTGGAAAAATGACTATCGCAAAACGATTGATAGCGGCATGCCGGTTGGCTGGCGGGGAGCTTCGTGTTTGTGCATCGACGTTTGTAAGTGCACGTATGACTGTATATATGTGTATGCATATGCATATTTGTATGCGTATGCTTGTGTGAATATGTGTCATCGATGCCCTTTCTCATCGTATCCACCGAACGGCCGGAGCTGTCAACGAGATGTTCGTCGCGACGAATACAATCTCCAACGCGTCGCGCACATCATACGTGTGTTCCAGCCGAACAAAGACCTCAGTCAGTGTATGCATCGCCCTCTGTTTCTCTCTCTCTCTCACTTCGGACGGTTGGTGCTTTGCGCGTTCGAAAAATTTCCTCTCACAGCAGGCCACTTTAGCCGGTACAGGAGACCTTTTCGGCGAACCACGCCAGCCGAAAGACTCGTTCGTTCGGCGTGTGTCCTGCGCGTCCTTTGATTTCGTTGAACACGACAGAAGAAGACGATGAAGAAACGGCGACGCGAACTTCGAATCGCACTCGGGAAGTGACAGCAGCTGGCGTATCTATGCGTGTGTTTCTGAACACATTAACGCCTCCTATGTTCGTTGTCGTTGTTGGTGGCCGTTGTGCAGATGCTGAGAGGCTCGAAGAGGGATGTGTGTGGAGTGAGAGGGAGAAATTGAGAGATGAAGGCTGGAAACGAGGGTGAAGAAGGGAGGGGGAGCTGAGAGCGGCGACGGGAGAGAGGAGGAGGAGGCAATTGCAACCAGCGCATTTGTGTGCGGGCAAGTGCAAGCGTATTGATTTTGCACTTTTGCGAGGGTTTTTCTCGCGCTGTCGCGCTGTCTTGTTTATAAACTCGTTTGTCAAACGTTTTTTTTTCTTCCATGGACATCAGTTCTTCGGGTTAAGCGCTTTTCGATCGACCTCATCGACCCGTCTCTCTTTTACCGCGTCCACATTATAGAGAACGACTTCGTTGATTCTATAAGCCCTCCTCAAATGCCCTTTCGCATTGCCAGAATGTGCCGGCTTTCTCACGAAACCCGCTGCCTCTTCAAAAGAGTTACTGCTTTAGAATTTTAATTTAAATGACATGATTGCTACCTGTTCTCTCTCGTGTTCCTTTCTCGTTCAATTCGGCAATATTTTTGTTAAATTTTTCTGCTACATATACAATCTCTTGATTCTTATTTGCAGAATATATTTAAACCATTTTACTATCGGCGTTGACTAAATTTCACTCCATGAGAGGTCATGTCATCAAAAATTCCCCATTATCATCCTAACTGTACTTTTGACCTTTTTGATGTCATTCAAGACCTTGAAAGGTGAGAAGTTTGTCGAGTACTAGAGGAGAAAAAAAACAAAAGAAAACAGATGAGGTAAAACTGTACTATTTAGATGTTTTTTATTTATTTATTTATTTAGAATCCTATGAATTATATCATGGACCAACCTAAATTTTGTTTCCTCTTCTTTTCGGCAGTATATATTATATATATATTATATAATATCGATGCGATACTGAACACTTAAATAACTCATTTTGTTCTCAATCTTTTTCGTGTAAGATTAGTTTCTCATTTTTCGAACCATACGGCTCCTTTCTGACTTCTGCCCCAATTCAACCCTATGGCAACTGTTACCCTCTGTTTCGCCAACATGGAGCCAGTGAACCGTGTACAATTACGTAATTTCCACTCTTTGTGAGCTCCGCGTTTTCGCGGACGCTCTTTTCCCCCGTCGCATCTACCCGCGTTCATGTTGCGCGTTGCACGATTGGTTCAATGGGGGCGATCGAATATTCGACATTACATGACATAGCAGTTTTTCAAGGCCATCATTGCAATGGCATGTGTATGTATCTGATCTGTTCGCATGCACGGATGTCGGAGTGTGGGCGAACGTGTACCGCATGAGAGCAGGCGTTCACAGGGCTGCAATGGCCGTAATTCATCACCGTTCAATAACCACATTCGATACCGTTTTTAAAAATACCTGATCCCCCAGGGGTTGATCACGTGTCGGCTCGATGTGCTGTGAAGAAATTGGAGGGCCCCTGCCATGAGCATTACAGATGTTGACTTGATAAAGGCCACCGACGGCGACAGCAAACGTTTACAAGTACATTACTGAAACAAATGAAGGCTACCAGGGGTGGGTCGCCACATCACCGCCAGGATTTCCTCGCAATGGCAGTGCACAAGGTGTGTGGTGGGACTGGCGCGTGGCAAGATGAAAACGCCATGAGCGCTGCGTGGAGAACGCGCGAACGGCCAGCACTAGCAGGCACGGCGCTTCGCGAACACACACACACATGCACAGACACACAGCCAGCACATACACTCGCACTCGCACTCACATGCAGCTGGAGCAGCTAGCATAGCTACGCCGCTGCCTCCCGCGCTGTTCTTGCTGCGGGCATCGCGATGCGACGATAAAAAGCGAACGACGCGAAGCTCCGCCCGCGGTCGTCGTCGTCGCAGCCGCCGCCGCGCCACTCCCCGTAGCGAACGGTGTTCGCGCGACTTCGCGCCACCGCTGCGGCCACCGCGGAGAGCTCATCGCGTCAAACGCTAGCCGTGCAAGCGTGTCGTCCGCACGTCGCACTTTAAAACACGATTAGTTAGCGTAGAAGAAGAGATCGGACTCATGCACGTCACTCTCTAAATGTCACCCGTATCGCCATCGTTCTAACATCTTCTATGATCGGGCCAATGTAGCTTTCCATTCTGATAGTTCGCGCAATTTTCCTATCACTGTCAATATGCGAGAATGCACGGAATGGGGTTTCATGTCTTAGGAAACGGCTTTTTTGCGCATTTCCTATTGAAAACATTTGTCATGCGTTTGCTGGTAGGTGCTGATCAAACGACAGTTTGTCGACGTTTCCGTCCTCTTCACTGAACGTCGACCATATCGTCGATGAACGAAGTAAAAAGCTACATAGGTGACTCCATATCTCACGCTATACATGCATATATCATAATGATTTGCTTTCGATTTGTTCTCAAAAATTTTTCACCAACGCCACCACCACAATCGCCGCCGTTCAATTGCTGATAATATCACTGAGTGGTGGCTGTTGTGTCATTGAACATTCGTTTCTCGTCACAATTTCAGCACTTCACCGGCGCCGAGTCGCAACCGCTCGACTTGAGAAAGCGAGAATCAAGTCCGTCAGCAAGTACGAGTACGACACAGCCGCAGTTTTTGCCTGTATTCTCATCGACTGATGACTATTACACGGCGAAACTGACGAACATCGTGGAGGTCCATACAGAATCGAATTCGCTGCTGAAATCGTCTGCGACAACACAATCACATTCACCGAAATCCCAGAAAGGCAACTTCTTTCTCATTGACTCACTGTTAACACCTGCGCACCCACCGGATCTATCATTGAGCTCCGCTTGCAAGGTACACTTCGCGTTAATTAAACTTCACAAAATTCAAGAATGTTTACCTTCTCGATAACTCGCATTCCAATTGATTCGTTTAGGGAGTCGAGGGAGCACCAGTGTTTTTTGGGTGTTCGTTGGCAGCGTCGTTCAGAAATCCAACCGCCACTTTCGATATTCCGAAGCGTAGCAGAATAGAGCCGGAGCGCGACGTCGCTCGGGCACCGGCGCCAGCCGTGCTCAGTCCTCATCGTTCCAACGGTCAGGAGACGTTGAACGCTTCAAGCTCGATGAAGAAGCTGAAACGGGAGCCAGATGAGACCACCAGCACCACCATGACGCCACCGCCGAACATCTGCGTCGACGACGAGGTTTTCTTTCTTATTGCTTTTCCTCGAGTTGCAAGATAGAGAGTGAGCTTTAAAGCAGTGAATTCTAGAACATGACAAAGTGCATGAGTATGTGTGTGTCCTTTTGTGTGTGTGTTCAATTGTCACTAACACTCCCCCTCTCCTCGAACAACCTCCAACTTTCGCCGGTCCCTTAACTTGCTGCTGGAGCATCTCTGTCAAAAGCGGAAAGTGGCGTGTCCTTGGGCTACCCTAACCACAATGCGTTCGCTTCTCAAGGCCGGCACTGGAACATCCCATATATAAAACTGAACTCGGTGTTCTCTGCGACTCTCGACGTTGCGCGGCTTTCGGCTCTTTCTGTCGTCGTGTTGTCGAATCGTTGTGTAGAGAGTTCCTTCCTTATTCAATCTACATTTCTCTGACTCTTCGATGTCCCTCGAATTGATATTGCGTGCACTGATGGTGAGTAAAAACTGTATTTTCGCTATAAAACTATTAGCTTACGCTTTTTCATTTTTCATCAATTTATTTTTTAGTTCCCTTGATTGTTTCCACATCCCCTACCGATTAGTTTTTTGACTTCTTGATTAGAGAATTTTTTGGTTTTACAGCGTGTATTATTTGCTCTGCTTTCGCTTTGCATGCTTTTCTTCTTGTCCGAGAGAAAATCGAACGCAATGCTATTTGCAGATTTCAGTTTGGAATTTCTACATTCTGCATGGCGAGTCTATGCGTACGTATGTGTCTGTATGCGTGTGTGGGGAGGAAAAGAGGAGTGGAGGATTAGAGATGAAGAGAGACGGAACAGAGAGGGACGTTCGACGAGAGAGCTTCGATAAACAATTCTGTGACAGCACAGATAGCGCACATTTCATGCAGACGCAGGGCTGGGTGTTGCGAGCGCCGCTTTTTTACGAACGGCCGAAGACCGCCACACACACAGCCAGCCAGCCAGCCAGCCGTTCCCCTTTGTTGGAATCGATCAAAAACGTCCAGTAAGGGCAACCTTGGAACGACACGAATGCTAAGGCGGGGATGGGGGCGAGAGGGTGGGTGGGGCGTTGCTCTCGACGACTGCACGTTGGTTACAAACGAGCTGCCAGGTGCTTTGGTAGTTGCTACAAGGAAGACTACATGGCAAAGCGTTTAAGTCAGCCAATTTGACATCATAATGTAATGTCGGTCCGAAAGGATTCGACGCCGGGCGAGGATGACGCAGCTGCAACAAACGTTATTAAAAGTGCAAAAGTGTGTGTGTGCGCTTGGGTGCTGCACGATCGGCATCGATCATGAGAAACAACGCGAATGAGACGGTATTTTCACATGCTTCGAAGATATCAGTACGTACAGTAGATGGAATGGCATCTAGTTCATTTGCTGACGGTGAAAATTGCTGTATTACACTTTTGCCTGACATGAGATGAGAGGTTTTAAGTCGACGTTCTTTGAAAAGAACCCCGTAGAAGAATGGCGTCATAGAGGTTGAATTTTGTGTCACGTCGATCGACTCTAGGAAGCTCACTGTGATGCCACCATGACCCCTCGATCAGCCATTGTCGGATACGAAACGGTTGAACATCGTCGTAGCTGTCGTGTAGATGCGTTATCGGTCAATTCGCACCAAGAACGGCCTCTCTTCCTTCTCTCGTTGTCTTTTGTGTTCGAAAATGGGCTCGATCTGCCAATAGTTCTCCACCCTGTCGTCGATTTCAAGGTCAAGTCGTCACTACCGATGTGCGCACTTCCATCCCACCATCCGCGCGTTCGTTTTCTAAATGCAAAGATAAGGTGTGTGTGGAATGGTGTGTGCTGTCTGTATGAGGGTTGCAGTCAGTCGCTGCAGATAGTAAGTGTCGTGTTCGTCGCGTGTCCTCCCCGTTCACAGCAGGCAACCGCTGGATTAACTGAGAGGGGAGGTGTCAGCAGCTGATTTGGGCTGGAGTACATGTTGTGGAGGGTTTTCAGGCGAAGAGTATCACTCACATAGGCGCACGCCGAAGTCTCAAATTGTTTATCTGTTATTGCCTATGTAGTGCCAAGCACCGCAACGACTACAAGCGTCCACGAAATGAACGCGGGCCGCCTCAGCGCTCACCCCACGCTGACTCTCCAGCCTATGTGAACGCGTTGTTCGCCTTAGCAGAATGTCTTTCAGTGCTGGCGGAAGCGTTCAGGTCGATCACTCAAGATTTCTAAAGAGGGCGACGACAACATCGTCTGCTGGGCTGAACGAGGAAATTCGCTTCCTGTTTACGTTGGCGCTCTCAACTTATTTTGTTGCATGCATGGCGCTTAGCATGATGACAGCTGCTGCACTTTCTGGTCGACACATGAAAGCGAAACAGGTTTTTGATCTTATGCGCGCCCACAATGTTTCTCGTTTGTTGCGTTCGCCAACGACGTACCGATTGGAGAGCTTGCATTGTTCGCGTAATGCGACGCTACAGACGTAGCGCTAGCTTAACCTCAAATCGCGTTATCCAGCGGCTTCTTCATACTTTTTACTCGTCCCTAGGCGTTCACAACGAGATTGGTGAGAGCGAAGGTCAGGGGAAAGCGATACGAACTTGCCAGTCGGTAGTGTAAAGCGAGGCAAAAGCGTTCTCCCACTTGGTCGCACGCGATGCTCGTTTACCTCGTTTCCGACGAGGTGAGCTCGGCCTTCTGTTGGCGGGTCCTCGTGATTCTCCAGATTCCATAGGTATGATAGAAGAAAGTTGATCTGAGCGTTGACTGATTGTAAGAGTTTTTCCTCGACCAGAATTCTCTAGTCCTTTTTCTAAATGTGATTGTATGAAGCTTGACACAATCCTAGAACAAACAGGTGAATCGCGGCCCAGTTCGTTCCTTCCCTTTCGCTTTCACCTCGCATCCCAAGTTACTTTCAAGCTTATGGTGCCTTGTAAGGCTCACCTACGTATGTGTGGATAAAGTGTATTTATTGCACAATTGTGTTTTCCGTAGATTGTTTTCAATGCATAACATATTTCCATCAAGAACGGACAAGGGTGCTCTCGAACATATTGTCACGTTCTCGCGTCTGCTTCTGACATTGTTTATGTTCAGTCGCCTTGTTTGCATGTTTTTCGTGGATGCACCCTCTGGTGGATACTCCGCGATCTCTACCTTTTCCTTTCGTTGTCAAACGCTGCGATTGTAAACTCAACCTTCTCCATTTATAGAGATGAACATGACTAAGGCTTTGCTTTTCCCATCCTGCCCCTTCGCTCTGCCTCAGCGTGAACGCTTTTTCCATTACTAAATTGCCGCTTTTTGTATGACGTCGTCAGCTAAAATTGGGGTAAACTCAGACAGCTTTTCACCGAACTTTCCCACGCACAGAATTTTTTTGGCCCTATGACGTGATGCGCTCTCTATAAGTGCGATCGCGTAAGTCACGCTCCATCAGTTCTGTAAGTAAGCGTTCTATGCGCCTTTTTATAAGACCTACTTGGAGCGAAGTCTGCAATTTTCGAAGCTATCATGGAATCTCCGAAAAGCTAAAAATGAAAAGAGATGTAGAAGGAGAGACACCCTGTCTAGGTGGTTATAGTTCTCCTAATGACAATTTATAAGTGTTTTTTTTTGACCTCTCTAAAAGATGAGTTTTTGATGCTAAAAGGTCTCTAACGGCCAAGCAAGCGATTAATGAGCTATTTTCATCAATAATCCGTCATTTAAAAGCTTACAGACAAATTAGGAAATAGCTGTTGATGTGATTTTTGTATGGCAGACAAAGTTTTCAATTCATTAAGTCCCTGTGCCGATAGGAAATTAATTTCTAGGAAGTAAAATTGATTGCTTGGCACTGATCTATGTTTTTTCTTAAGCATTCGAATCCTATTTGGGAATTCTCGTTTTAGATTCCCATTACATATACATAGACATACATATGGGCACGATTAAGCCTATGAAATGATATGCGTTATCAACTTAAGTATTTTTATGCTCTTGTTCAAGTTCGGCATCATTTATCGAAGGGATACAAGTTGTGACTGGTCTGAATGTGGACCATACTTGTGGTAGTAGCCCTTGTTCTACCCTTTTAGTCCAGCTCTACCCTATGTTTGCGGCATTTAGCTTTGTGACTAGAGAATTTCTTTTTGCAGTTCCTCATTTGTAAATTGTCATGCGGTACCCTAGAGTAGTTTATTGAATAACGCGTCGAGAATGATCTTAGCTGAGTAAATTAAGGAAAGAAATTTCATGGTAACATCCACTTATTGATCATTCTATGAAGCCGCGTGAGGCAGCTGTTCCGGTAGATTTGACATTCTCATGAATTTGCCACCTGCATTCTCATATTGTCATCTTATCTCACGCGAGAAGCCGTTACAGGTTAAGTGAAATGCGAGTAACCACGTGGCAGTTCACTAATGCGCTTCAACGTGACTAAAAGATCAACAGAAGAGAAGGAAATCCCTTGCTCAAGAAATCCCTTGCTCCTGCGAAGGATCAGACTCTGGATACCTCAGCATGCGTGATTCGAATCTTTCGATTAGCTTAACGGATAGTTGTTTTCGTTGGACGCTAAGAGCAAAACACTGCACTTTATGGGAACACGGGCGAGCGCAATGTCGTCGTCGACGGCAGCGTCGACGGCGGTGGCCGCGGCGACAACGACGGTGCTTCTCGAAAACACCTCAAAATCGATTCTTTCGAACTCTATGTTTCGCACTTTTTACGCATGAGATGAGGCGAGAGCGAAAACGCAAGAGCCACATGTGCATCTCTTCCACAGCCGTTGTTTGCTATGAATGAACAATGATAGCTTAACAAGAATCGTGCCATCACTTTTGACTGGCTGTGATCGCCAAATGCAATCACCTGCGACGATCGCGCGCGCGAACGGCGACCACGAAACGCAATCCCTGATGCAACTGGAGTGACGTAGACGGATGTTAGTCGAAGTCTGCATCCAGTCCCATGTCTAGACCATAATCCGCTTCGACTCTCGTCTGCGGTTTGTCTTCCTCAGACTATGTTTGTTATCACTTTCTCCTATCCTCTGCGTCCTGTCCCGTTCGCCCTTGCGGTGTCTGTCGCCTCGGCGTTCGTCGCACTGCCTCGTTACCCACTACTGCTAACCGGCTTTTTGTGCGTTCTTATGGTTAGTGGCACCCGTCTGACACCCTGGACTTGTCAGAATGCTCTACCACGATGTCTACAGTAACATCTATGTAAGTTGTTTTCGCTGCTACTTTAGTTCGTAGTGTATAAAGGTCGGCAGGAACCAGCTAGAGAGCCCGACATGCTGACCGACCGACGGGCGCTCTCGTGTGTCGGGTGCTACGATAGATCTCGATGTAGGAGCGATGAATAAACAGTATTGAAACCGTTCGCTCTTCCCTTTCTGACTCACCAGCGCTTAATCTTCGCAGTTATGAGGTTATGAGCCATGGCACTGACCTTCTTCTTTCATGAAAGTAACCACAGTTAGTTGTGGGCGTTGAAGTGCTGGCTTAGCTGACCACCTAACGGAGGTTTTCAACAGCACCTCCACCTCAGCTGCTTTGGTTTTTTTCCGAATCGTTCAAAACATTTT